AAACACGCCGGGTCAAAATGGATGCAAATTGTCCAAGATAGAGAGGCATGGAAGAAGGAGGGGAGGCCTATATCCAAGGATGGATGTTTAGGACTGTATAGATAGATAGATAGATTGAAATAGCACGTGCATCATTCGTTAAACTTTTTTAAAGTTTGTTGTCGGAATGTAAGGTTAGGACTACGCCTAAGAATGCTTCGATGTTACGTATTTACTATTTTTTTATGACTTGGAAGCATGGACATTAAAACAAGTGCATCTAAATATGTTGAGCGCCTTCAAATTTTTTGTGTTACAGAAGAATCGTGAGAATATCAGAGACTTAAAGAATGTCAAACGCAGAAGTTACTAGAAGAATAGAAATGAAGGTGAAATAATCTTGACTGTCAAAAAAAGAAAACCTTATACTTAGGTTATGTTATGACAGGCAAAGATACTCATTATTGCAGGTTATTATGCAAGGCAAAATTTGAGGAAAGCGAAATTTGGGAAGACGAAGAATATCGTGGCTTAAAAACTTAAGGGAATGGTTTGAATATAGCAGTGCAAAACTATTAAGAGCAACAATCAACAGGTTCGCATAGCCTTGATGATTTTCAACCTTTGACAGAAGATGAAACTTAAAGAAGATTAAATTAATTATTGGTCTTTTTTATATATCCAATATCAAATAATAAAATTACTAAATATGCCAATATAAAATTATTCAGAGATGCTAATATTATTAGAAAGAAATTTGCTTTAAAATTAGCTTTTAAAAACTGGTTGCCTTATACGAAAATTGTGAGGCGAATATGCGAGGAACTTGGTTTAAGTTTGAGAACGGCCTTTAAACTCAAGGAGTTCTATTTGGAAAGGAAATTCTTGGGCAGTGATGCAGAGATATTAGCTAGGGTGCGTATGTTTGCTTTTAAGATTAGTCAAAAGCTTGGGAATGTGTTGTCATTATTAAATTAATTAGGATTAAGCTTGTAGAGATAATAATTAAAATGGGTTGCTATAAAATTTAATATTACGTCTATATTAGTTTTTATACATTGAGAAACAATAACACCAGTTGTAGCTGTCATTGTTAGTCCTACTTGCTAAAGGTTATTTATCTATAATACGTGCTCTATGCTGATAGTAGTAAAATTATATAAAGTTTGTAATTGAAGTGTGTGAAGCTATTAACAAAACTTTTGCAGATTTCTCTACTGGTAAGAGTAACCTTGTATCAAAAAATTTGTCTGAATTTGTATGGCTTTATTTGTCATATAAAACTATAGTTGAGAATCAAATTTGTAGGCAGTAAATTTTCCGAACTGTGAATACAATAAAGCGATAACATCGTTGCCAGTTTGTGATGAAAGATATTCTAGCAATTTATAATTTAACCATTTACATGCAGCAAACTTTTCATATTAATGATCGTTTTGTATTTGTTAAAGTATCTAATAAAATGTATTTAATAACATCAATATTTATGTACAATATTATATTAATATACAATACTTATATATAGAAAACATCTAAAGTACGATATTATTCTTTGTAAAAGTCATACATGACAACATCGTATTCTAGGACTGGTAGAAAGGAATAGTAGATCAACGTTGTCATAATATACAGGGAGATAAATTGTTTATTGATTTCCTAGCTTAGCATTCAGTAGCGTATTATTCACACTGTTGCAGTGAAGTTTTAAAATTAATCTTAATATAATATGATATGAGACTTCTTCTGTCTCTTCTATCTACTTCTTATCACAAAAAAACACTTCTCAAAAAATTACTTTCAAATTTCATAACTTTGTACAAAACATACGAGACAAAGAAACTTTCTATGACATTTAATGACAAACTATAACTTTTTTAATGCCTTTTTTTACAAAAATTAATTATCGAAAAGGCAGGTAGAGAGATTGACCCTGCTGTTATTCAATGAAAGGTTTATTTTCATTAGAATTACTTATATTTTAAATATACTAATTTACATAATTAGAAAAATCCAACTCTGAACTTGCAAATTACATGAAGTGACTTTTTAATTTTAGTGAACATACAACCACTCACACGTATATATTATAATTAAATAAAATAAATCAAATCGAATATACCTCATGAGTTGAATGAAATGAAGTATTCATTTTTAAGAGCAAAGTATATTGGTGTAAAACGTATTTTAGTTTGAAAACTAGGTTAACAAAATAAACTTAACTTTACTTCCAAAATGAATCTTGATAAAATGGTACGACCTCCACAGGAATTCAAAATATTAATCATCGTATGAAGACGACTTGTTGGCTGACGAAGAGCTATCGCGATCACTATTATTTACATTGATAATTAATGGTTCAACCGAAATGTCCACTCTGTGTACAAGTTCCACATTCTATCTTCTTCTTTATAGTGTGTTTTATATAATTTTTCCAAGATTCAGGTGTGACATTTTGTATGGCAGTGGCCAACAAGCACTTCACCTCCTCCATTTTAAAACTCAAGCTTTCTCTTACCCCTTGGTTTTTTATTTGAACCCATATTATAAGCTCGATAGGGTTCAGCTCACATGATAAGGAGGGAGGCGATGTACAAATAATTATTTGTGGCACGAGCATTTCATAGACTGCTTATTTCTTGAAAACGGGTATATATATCCTCGCGAGGTTGAATAATTGTCCTTTCAACATGTTGTCATCCAATGGTATATTTTTTTGAGAGAGCCAGTTGATTATTTCACTTTTTTCGCCAGGCAGTCGTTAGTGATCGCTCCAACCGTCGACTGTGGTATGACGCATTGTCTATAACAACAACAGAATTTGCTTCAAGGTTTGATAGAATATTTGACAACCAACCTTCGAATCTTTAAGCGTCCATTTCCTCATGGCAATCGTTGGTTGTCTTGAATTTAAATAGTAATAAGCCGTTTTTCAAAAAACCGGAATCACTGCCTATAGACAGTATGACCTTGATTTAGCCAAGTTTCATCTAAATAGTATACTTTTCGTCCTTCACGACAATGCTCTCGTATTTGGATTTCGTTACGAAAAAAGAAAGCATGGCATTTCCTTAGAATAGCATATTTGGTATGATTTTCAAGCTGAATGCGTTTTCTACCTCTGATTTTAATGATTTCAACAGGTCCATCCTCCAATTTGCCTTCACTTTGTTTAATATATTGTTTACAATTCTGTATACACTTCTCGTCGATACTTAGTCAAATCACTACACAGGGTAACTACATCGTTTAACCAACATTACTTTTATTCATAGAGAAGACCTTCAATAGCGATGAACCGTCACTACTACTTCCAAGAATTAACTGCCTAGATTTCTGGATTCTTACTATAATTCTGTTGTTGTGAGTAAAATTTTTTTTTTTAATTTCTTTCGGATATTTAGGACTTCTTAGAACACTTGTCTACGCTGTGACTCAGTGAACATATATTTTGTTCTTTCAATTCCTCTTATCGTCGCCAAGTAATAAACCATCTTAGAGTTGTTTATTTATTTCGTAGCGCCGTATTTTTTCTCGATAATTCTTTGATTTAAACCGCCCGATATTGCGTTTTTCAAATTAATAAATTACGTCTTAATTTCTGTTGTGTTTTGTTATTTCAAGTTATGTGAACGAATTTTAATTTCATCACTCTCGTTCGAGCCGCGATCAAGAGCGGTTCAGCGTTATATCCAAATTCACGTCAAATTTGAAAAGTTTTCTATTTTTGCCCTTTTTTATGGAAGATTAGTGGTTCTGCAGTTAATTGTACCATACGTGTTACGTTACATGCAGTTGTTCCAGTTTTGTAAAAATGTACGGCTGATTTGTTTATTCCTTACCTATGTTTGTCCCCGGCTGATCAACGTCCCAGATCATTAAAGCAGTATTTTTTTTGTTTGTGTTCGGAGATTTCCCATCCAGTCCTACCCACAGAAATTTAAATGGATTCCAAGTTCCCAGACCCCAGGCATTATGCTAGTGAAATTTAGTGAAATGTAAGGTAACTGTTTTTGTGTTTTTATATTTTAACGTAAAGACAGACATTTTTTTAATTAATATTTTGCTTTCGTTTATAATATGAGAATTTTTGATAATTAATATTGTAAATTTTGAGGTTAGACTTTAACCTGTCGATTTATTTTTGTTCAGTTTTTTTTTAATTGAATATATAAACTTATGGCATGCTCGTGTTTATTATTTTTGATATTCATTTGTTTTGTTTAAAAAAAAGTATTAAACTCTTGTGCAGTGAACAACAATTTTGAAAAATTTTGTAGCAATTCTTCATTGTAAAAAGATAGGACACTTGTAAGTTTTTCTCTGTATTTTTGTAATTTGTGACTAATAATACAGTTGTTTATATTGTCTATTTTGTGTAACTGTTTGTGGTAAGACACAATAAAAGTTAAATTTTGTTTTTCTTAACATTTTGTTTATTCTTTTTTAACTAACCCTTTTTGAGTTTCCATTTGAAAAAGATATGTTTTTATGTTTAATAATTAATTTCGATAGTTACAACTAGCTGTTGTAATAGTTATAATTAGGCACCTCGAAGTGGCGCCCCGTTTAAATTACTAGAGGTGTTTCCTGTTTCGTTTTGTTTTTTATTTGTCCCAAGAGATACATGACCCTTTGTTTCATTTTTCTGTAGTTGCCAACCCTCTTTGTCATTTACTTATCCACGGCCCCAGCTCTCCTAACAAATCCTGAGTGCCGTTCTCATATGTTTCTATTATTTTGCTTGCCCTATCCCCAATAGTTTCTGCCCCCAACTTTCAGCTCCCTTAGTACTACCCCATGTGGTAGGTAAAATATTATCATTACAAGTTTATTAGTATAAACTCAAGATTTTGTTTGATTTTTGTAGTAAAAGAATTTCTAAAAGAATTTTTATAAAAATAAAAAAATTCAGTAATTTTTACAATATTTGTGTACAGATGTCTACTTGTTCTGACATTCGTTCATTTTAATTTAATAATTGTTTAATCACCAAAAACCATAAAAATATGTAATCAACTTACCTCCACTAACATCCCTCTTTCTTCTTAGACGATGATTAACTCTTCCTCCATTAACGAACTCGACGAAATCATATTGCGTAACACTCGGAGCCACATTTCTTCTACCGTAAACAGCGAAATTCGCGCCCCACGGCAGAGTAAAATTAAAATTGATAAACGCGGGTTGTTTATTTCTGAATTCGCTGTTCCAAAATTGATAGGGCGGAATAGTTGCCGAATGCAAAGTATCCAACTCGGTTTGCTCGAGTAACGGTAATGGAGGCCATTGTGTTTGTGGCTGCTGCTGTTGCTGTTGTTGTTGCTGCTGTTGCGACGGTTGCTGGTGTTGGATGGCTATGAGCTGTGGTGGCGCTTGCCGAATGTTCGGCTGTACTGGTCGGCAGCGATTCTGCAATAAATAAATTTACTTAGTAATCAATTAGGGAATAACAGAAACATGGGAACATTACGGAAATGTGTACTATGTAGGTTAGACCTTATGATAGTATGTAACATGTAATTACAATTAAGTAATTAGAATTTAAACAAATTTTGTTTTAAATTAATTAAATAACAGGCTTTTAAATAACTGATATTAATCAGCTGCTTTATTATTAAACAATGATAAAGAAAAATCAATTTATTTAATTATTCAGCCAAATTTTGCAGTTTAGAGAGTAATGTTTTATTAATTTCTAAAACTAGTCAAACAATTATTATCTCCTTCGAGAATATATTATTCAATATGTTGACCTATATATATATATATATATTATATATATTATCTATATACTTATATATATATTTGAAAGAAGTCAAAGAAGATATAAGAAAAATGGAACAGAAATTGGAAGAGAATTATAAAAAATTAGAAAAGAAAATAGAAGATAATAATAATAAAATTGTAAAACAAATAGAAAAACAAATAGATAAAAAACTTGAAGCTGCAGAGAAATAAGTAGCAAATGAAAATAAAAAATATAAGGCATAGAACTATAAGAAAAGGATAGAAAATGAGAGAACAGAAGTAATTAGGATTATTCAAGATAATATGATTAGAGTATAGAACAGAAAATAAGTTGCAGAAAATGTAACTTAGAAGTCAAAATGAACGAAGACAGGAGAAACCAGAAGAAAAATTGGAACGATATGCAAAAAAATATCCAAATAAATAGTAATCAAATATGAAATGTGAAACAGAGAATAGATGATATTTCACAAATGAGAGACAGGGAGACCTTACTTTAAATTTAACCAAATGACCACTGGGATTAAATTCTATGGTATATCAAAAATTTGCATCCTAGAGTATACATAAATAGTTTAAAAACTATAAATTAAGATTAGTGAATAATATTAATGATATTAAAGATTATATTAGAATGACATTAAGTCATAACTTGGTTTGCCACTGTTGAGAAATGATTTGGACAATTTTTCAAACATTTTGAAATATAAATTTTTAAATTATTATTGGGGTGAATTAGAGCCTAAATGGTCAGTTAAATTGTACATGTAGACCAGAGAAAGTCTCTAGAAACGTCAATAGGACTATTTGCATAGTCCATCACATAGACAATAAACCATTCCATTTATTCCGATAGTTCTGATAGAAAAAATAGAACGAGTCGAACCTTATTCATTGCTAGATTATTCTGGAACCAGAAAAAATGATATAAATACACATGTAATTTGGAGCTAGGAGTTAGTTAGTTAAAAGAATTCAAGGCATTAAGTTACACCGGATTATTAAGTCAAGTTACAGATTAATATTATAGTATGTTAGAATTGATTCGTAAAGTGAGTTAAGTTACAAGAAGTTACAGTCAATTATTAAGTGAATTAGTTTGAAGAATTTAAGAATTCAAGGATTATTAAGTCAGTTACATGTGATTATTAATTACAAAGAAGAATTAAGAATAATTTATGTGGTTTTGATAAGAGATCATTAGCTAGAAGAAAGCAGTGATTAAGTTAAATGAATTAATTAATCAAATACAGTTGAGATTAATTATTACTACAGTAATATAGTGACTGTATGAAGTTCAATTCATTGAATGTAAGCATTCAATAGTACAACCCCAAGATCCTGTATATTTGAAAGTACATTATATGGAAATTACAAGGATTTAAATTTATATATTTTATATGGTGAGTGCAGATAATTAAGAAGAAACATTTTAAAATGTTGGATAACCAAGGCTGAGTAAGAAGATATCGAGGTGTGATAATAACTTTAATTTTGAAAAAACTTTAGGGGTTCAGTGATAAAAAGTACCAAATTTTGTTAATAATTTTAATAATTGTAAGAATTTCAAATTTTAGATAGATTGTTTTAATTGATATTGCTTATATTAGATAGATTATGTTTGTTTCATAGTAGTTATAATAAAGAATAATTTAAAAAAGTACTTGCAAACTAATTATTTGATGAACCGCGATAAAAACCCTATACTTACATATATCATTTCAAATTTATTCATAGCTCATACAGAAACAACACATCATAACATTTATATAATATCCACAATTTTATAGCATTGTGCACCTTCCGAGTCTTAATTCACGTCTATCAGCCCAGTATCCTGCGTCTCCTGGTCGTAGCTCTCTTTGACATTGCCTTTTGGACACCAAGCCATGCTGTTTTCGGTCTTTCTTGTTTTTGTCGCTCCTGTGGCTGCTTATCAAATATATCAAAATAAAACCTTCGATGTTTTTTTGTCTTATTTGTCATATTTTTTCATTTGTAACGTGCATCATTCTGCATTTACCTGCCGATCTGCGCCAAAAATCTATTTCCGGAACAAGGACTTTTTGCTCTGTTTTCTTAGCGAGTTGCCAGGTTTCGCATTTATACAGCACAACGTTTTAATCTTTATTTGGGCAAGGTGGGTTCAATGGGCCCAAGACGCCAATTTTTTTATCATAATCTCATAAAAAAATTTTATTGAATTTTATGCATCACTGAATTTGCTTAGAAGCATGTTTCCTTTAGCACATTAATGAGTTAATTCAAAATATTCATTATTATTTTTAAAATTATTGCGTCGAAAGAATTTAGTCATGTATACCTAGAGTCTAAAATCATTTGTTACAGAAATTAATCTGGCAGTCAGGTAAATGTTTTTGTGGATTGTCCTAAACGACTTTTATGATATCTGTAAGTCTAATAATAAAGCCTAAACGTGTAACAAACATTGTAAAAACATCTCTTTGACGTGAACATCAAGAGATGCTTTTCGAAAATGATTTTCTCGGGCCACAGGACTATCACCTATAAAGCGTTACATTTTTCCAAACCATGCATTTTGCCTAGTGCAACTACAGATGTGCTTGAGCATAAGCCTTCTTCTTCTTTGAGTGCCTCTCCTATCGGAGATTGGATATCATTATGGCGATTCCTATTTCATTTACTGCTGTTTTGAATAATTCGTTAGTGGTACAGTCAAATTACTCTCTTAAATTTCTCATCCAGAACATTCTTCTATTACCTGATTTCTGCGTCCTTGGATGTTTCCTTAGATTATATTGCATGAACCTGGTTTTACTAGTAAACCTGATATTACTTCTACTTCTCTACCTGCTGTTGTTAATGTGTCTCACGTTGCATCTTACGCTCATCATGATACCCAAGAACCGTCGGCATTTGCTTTTAAAGGTGAATCTATTGAGGAATCCTAATGTAATTGGCACCGAAATCAATGTAAGAAAATTTACCAAGGGTAAAACGCTGGTCAATATCGAGATGCATTAAACAAGAGCCCCTTCCTGAAATATTTTCGCGAAAAAGAAAATAAAGAGAAAGCAAAATACACAAAAACCAATAAAAGAAAAATGGAAAAGAAAAATGGTGAATTTGTTTTGCCTGCCCTATCTCGGTCCCAATAATTTCTGTCCCCAATTTTCTACCCCCCATAGTAACACCCTATGTGGTAGGAAAAATATATTCGTTACAATTTAGCGCCCAACGTGACAGCCATTCGTTAACAATTTAGCGCCCAACGTGGCTGGCACGATTTAGATTTGCGTCAAATTGTATCTTCGTTACAAATGTGCTAGAATTCCGAAAAAATCAAAACAATTCATTTGCGAATTTTGTATGAATTTAAGATGTTTAATTTGAATTATGTTTTCTTCGTAAAAATAATATTTTATAATTTTTTATTTAACACTCATGTTTATTTGTCTGTCATTTTGCAAACGCTAGGCGGTCAAAATAATTTTTTGTTATATTTTGATTTTTTTTAAGAAATCTATTTGCATGAGTGAATTTTTGTTGCTTAGAATAATAAAAGATTGAGCTCACATCATTATAAATTAAAAGAAATGATTTATCTCTATTTATGTCTCAGATGTATGAAAAAAACTAAGTGTGCCATCTTGCCCGCCCTTCCCCTACCCAACAGTCGAATAAAAATGTGTTTGCATTAATCCCTAGAAATGTGTTTCCAATTTACTAATAATAAACGACATAATTGCAGAAGTGGTTTCCGCATACCTGCAGTTATATTCACCCATGGCTAAAAATCAAATTCCTTCATTTCAGATTACCGAAACTATTCGTAGCTCTCCAGTTATAATTAAATTTATCCACAAAGTAGCATTATCGACTACAGCTACATACCGCCGCAACATCGCATCGGCGGCGAAACGGGGAAGGAGGTAAGGAGAGGAAGCCAAGCTATAATTCCTTTTACGCTCGCACGCTCATTACACCCCAATTTTCCACATTATTATGCAATTCATGTTTCTTTTTATGCGGGAAATTTTCAACAACGCTCTAATGGGTAATTCCATTACGTACACAGTATGAAAGGACGTTTTCACAGCCTCCTCTCACTGAGAAAAGAAGAATCTCATAGCAATGCAACTCAACTACGTCCACTTTGCCTAATTTATCTATCCAACTAAATGTAATTCAACTTTTTTTAGGCAGTTTCATCGAAAGAAACACGATAAACACTTCGAGAAATAGTCTAGGGGCTTACGCATTGATTTTTTGATGTGCGAAATGTTGATTTTATTAAACAGAATGTACAATATATAAAACTAATAAAATTTCTGTTCATTAATTTTTTTGTGTGTGGACGTTTATAATTGGCAATTTAATTTTACTTCTTTTTTCTTTTTTTTTCTCCTTGTATCCAAGCATTTTGCCTATCTTTTGAGTATTGGCTCTTATTCTGTTGCAATATGTGATTACATTTATTTATAGGTCCACTTATGCTTTTTCTTACGATTGGTGACGTATATATCTCGAACTACTATAACTTTTATTTTCTGCCATTTTAATCATATTACATCACTATTCCATTCTTACTTTCAAAATTGCACCCATTCATTTATGTTGTTTATTGTCCACGTATTTTCTTCTCCTTTTTTATATAGACTCGCCTAGGAATTCTTAAT